CAGCATCATCATCCTCATCATCATCCTCATCAGCCTCATCATCCTCATCAGCCTCATCAGCAGCAGCAGCAGAAGAAGAAGAAAGCACAATGGCAATGCAGACCACAGTTCCGACTGTTTGCAGACCTAAAGTTCCTACAGTGATGTTTCACTTGAACGATTTTGGAGCAGAAACCATGCGTTATTTAAGTACGTTGCTTTCAGTATTGAGCGTGTCGGCGAAATACATTGGCAACTCGAAGGGGAGGTGAGGGGGGAAAATCTCCCAAAGGGGAAGATTTTTTAATTATAAAGAGAGAAAGGTGTTTGGGGCCATTTCATTTGCCCGGCCCTCCTTCCCAAAGCGCGTGGGAAGCCCAACACTCTAACCACACCATAAGAAAAGCTATACAAATGTTATACCAAGAGAAATTGCAAACTTTTTGCCCCACGCCACTTATGCATAAAATGAAAAGGAACGGTTTTCCCGGAAATCTGATTCCCGGGATAATCGACTATTCAGTTACTGACAGAAAACCCACTTCATATACCGACCTGTAGGTAGGACTCAAGCCAGTCACAGATCGGAAGGCGAATAAAGTTCCACTGTATCAACACAACTTCGCAAAGAGATGATGGAGTAATTTAACTTTCATTTGTTAAACTTTGACGGTTTCTAATTTTAAGCTGCATTCTGTGAGAGTTGTTTAATTTTTCTTGGTCTTACACAGTAAGACAAGACAGTGAGAGACAAATCTGCTTCAGAAATCCACCTTTAGACATTGTCATCATAAAACTCGCTTGTACATAGCCCCACAGAGTGCAGAAAGGTCGAATTCAAAAGAAGGGTGGGTTCGTATCCTTCCAGTACATTGTAAACTATCCTGTCTAAAAAATCATTCAACATTTCATCTCATGGATACCATTATACGATGCGAAAATGGTGTTTAGCGCTGTAACATTTTTCTTAAAGATATTTTAAAATATATGTCAAAATTATTGATGGATAGTGTTTTGGAATTGAACACAGACGTTTTAACACGAATTCGGACAGACTCTAAACATGTTTACAAGCAGGGATGAACCATGTGTTCTGTCGGACCAGGGCGCAATAGGCCAAGGCAACAGAGGTCGGTTGGTCTTGTACGGCCTGTACACACCGGAGCCGCGTAGACTCTAGGTAACACACCTCGGTATTAGAGCTCCGTGTAGATCAGAGCTGCGTTAGCCCTAATCTGCTCTACGATAACAACCAACACGAATTTTGTTTGACTAGTTATCAGGCAGGAGCGTCACATTTTATTTTGATACCAATCTGTATAAAACTTTGTGTAGTACGTGATTCTAAAACTTTAAAAACGTTTTCCCAACGTTTGCGTAGATCTGGATGTTTTTTGGTACACTGTGGGCCCTGGATTTTTCTTCTGCCCTAAGCACGGTGCCTATTGTGCCAATTACAATCCGACCTTTTTTACAGGGTCACTGCAAAACTTAATGTGTTGACTCTCTAAAAACAGTTTGAGAGAGTATTTGAAATGTGACCAGGACGAAGTTGGTTTAATTTGTCAGATCTGCTAAAGATAAAATGTACCTGTGGGACGTAAATCCCAGACGAGCTGCAGCGAAGATTGTTATCGTAAGCTGCGGCGTATCATAAGCCGCGGCGTGACAACGCGGTTTTTCGCATGAAACAATCCATGCATGTTGGCATGCACACCTTTCTTCTGATACAGTTTACCAAACACTTTTCGACAGGATATTGCAAAGGCTGAATATTCATGAGGAGGTTTCGATTAAGACAGTATTTTCGTTGTTTCCCTTTTAGATGAACGTGTTCTTCTTGGGGATGATAATGTACAGATTCCTCACAGTCAAAAGCATTGCCAAGAAATCCAAATATGAACAGCTCAGGCAAGTATAATTAGCCCTTAAAGGCAGTAAAAGTTCCTCAGGCGAAACAAAAATTCATGTAGGTATATTTTATTGGAGTATTCACCTGATACCTTGTAAAAAACGAAGTACCCGCTGTGGACGACTGCTTCTGTTTCTTCAATATACATGTACTTGTTCCGCAAAGAGTTCTGCACGACCAAGACGGATGTGATCCACTCAAATTGGCAATTAAATAATATGCACTTTTAATCACAGTGTCCCACAATCCTTTGCTGTCTACCACATTTTGACTAAGGCCATGTTCGGCTGTGTCGGTTTTACTGCTGGCTTTGTCTTGGAATAACACATAAGCCTGTGTGTTAGGTCAGCTTTAGAGCTAGGCTGCTAGCATTTTCCATCAACGTATATTATATCAGTCATTTTTATTTTTTGTAGCCAAGTAATTTGTCTTATTTACAAGTCGGCCGTACCGAATTGAAAGAGAGGTTAAGTTTCTTATCTTGGTACATGAGAATAAAAATGAAAGCATTGGAATTAAGCATTGTAAATTAATGTCTTTTATGCTGATTTTGTTATTATTCATATCTAAACGTTTCTAGCCACATTTTAGAAACTGATGGTGATGCATGGTACCAAAAATTGTCTGGCACCACACCCATATAACAGATTTACATTGAATGAGATATATTCTAGGAACACAATCGAAAAAAAGGGTTCCCTGTGAATAAGATTGGCTGGGATGCAGTCTTCGTATATGCAGCTGCAGCTACAATTCCGCCTCCAACACCCGTTGAATAGCTGCCCCATTGACACAACGTGGCCCGTTTCGGACACGACCGGCTGATATCCAAGATGTCGGATTGGAGGTTTGTGGAAATGCAAGACTCCAATGCCTGCAGCTGACTTACTCTTCACCGATTTCTTTGGGTGCAGGAAGGCGACCAGGGCCGCCATCGTGCTACTCCCACTGCTCGGTACAACATGGATCTTCGGCCTCCTGGCCCTTGGCACTGCCAGCGTGGTCATGTACTATATTTTTGTCACGCTGAATTCCCTCCAGGTACAGTTATAATTTTTGGTTGAAGCGTTAATCCGTTTCCTCATCATTTAGTTTCAATGCAATTCATTAAGGCTCAATTCTGGTTGTCGAATTTACAATAAACAGTGTTGAAAAAGCCAGACAATAAGCAAGGAATTCATAGGAAATACTTGATGTGTTGGTTCATTTATACAAGTAAACCCTCCCTGCCTTTTTGGAAAGAGTGTGGATTCGATATTTTGGTCAACTTCGGTTGAAAAGTCGAGCAATGAGAAAGTTACGCCGGATACACGCCCAATATTTCTCCAAAGGAATGCTCTCTGTACGGGCTGTTCTACTGGGTCAGGAGTATCTTACAGTGTATCGGAAAACGTAAGCCTCCAAAATTTACTCTGAAGAACTTTTTTTATCACAGGCAGGACACGCATTCATAGAACGCCAAAAACTTGCCGTAACTCATCTTCGCACTGTACCATGTTCTTATTGGACCCAAGTGGGGGATTAGTTTTACAAACATTACAATGCAAACAATGTAAAGATCTTCAATAAAATCAGGCACAATGATCACGTGTTTGAGTTTCTTCATGTCTTCAGTGCTCGTTTTCATGAATAAACGACAATAATTGTTTGGCTTCAAAGAAGACTTTACTTGAATAATTTTCATTATTTTCAGTTATTTGGAACTGTAAATGTCCACGGCGCCCGAAACTCGGACAATTTTCGCCCAAATTGCCTTTTTAGGTACCTCTTGGAGCCAAACTGATACTCCACTTTGATGTAATTTGTTGATGGTCAGCTATTTCGTTGAGGATTGAGGCTACATATGCTAGCAATAAGGAGAAAATGGACAAAATGAGCGGTACTAAGCGAGACAAACATCGTTGTACGCCCGTCATGAGAGCGTGTGCGTTTGTATAGGCCTACTCAGCGACGCATAATTGTCTCATCTTGGGAAAATGTTGAGAATCTCCTCGAAACGCATTCAAAGAACTACGTCATATTTCCGTTTACTGTTTCTCCGAGGAAATGTGACATTGTTGTCGTTAGATGTAAAATATAGTATTAAGTGTCCTTTTATCGATTTTTCCTTTCGAACATGAAGGGTGTGTTTATTTGCATATTTCACTGCCTGACCAATGACGATGTGGCAGCGACAATGCGCGTCAAACTACGCAGGTCTCGCACCAAGATCGATATCTTTCTGACCTCAGCTGTGAGTACTTTTTCTCTAGGATCTACTCTAAAATGCATTTGAAACCTCGGTAGGAATAACGTATCATTTTATTAAACTTGAAGAATCGTTATCCATTGAATGTAAAAAGCTTAACAGAATATGATTTTTTCCCATTCTTCTCGTGAAGGATCGGAAAACACAGCCAAAGTCAAAATGCGCCGAAAGCAAGCACAGCAACGGTGAGAACGAGTTTTATTTCTTTATTCACACATTTCTAATTTCGTTTATGTTTCCACGCACAGTATTGCATAAAGACCTTCAATTTGCACTGTGATTCTGTGAAACTTAAACTTTTGTTTACGCTCACATTCAAGTCGTCAGCATGGGCATTCGTTTATGGCGAAGAATGGCTCACTCTTATATCTATGCATTTTTGTAACTGTCGTCTCTTTTGGGGTCTACCGGGTTTCAGTTAGAAAAAAAATCTGGGGATGACCCTAAAGGAGAGAAGGGGAAATGGTGTTATAATGCCGCACGTTTCTGGGTGTTTTTCGTTTGTGAGCATTTAAGAAAACAAAAACATCTGCCTTACTGATGGGGATTCCTCTATTTCAGGATCCAGCACGTCCAGAAATCCGCCTGGAACCAGCACATCTGAAGACGCACCACAGTCAAGTCGATGGGCAACTTACCCGCCACAAGCCAGACAAGAGTCGACGAGACCAGTCAAATGTGGCAGTATTGCAGCCGAGCCACCAAACTTGCGGTCATAGAGTACATCACAAGTCAGTTCAAAAGTCTGATCACTAAAGTGAGAGAGTGCAAGTGATGTAGTTAAAAAGTACGTTGCCGTTATTGCTCATTTGAGTAGCTTACCCCTTGCTCGGGACCAGATAGATAGTGAACGACTTATGATGGATGTGTTAGGAGTTGTCATGACTTGTGATAGCCTCCAGGCCAGGGCTGGATTTAATGTATCGTGTACGAAGCTGTAGGCACCCATGTTCATAATCTTCAGCCTACGCACCAGCACTATTTCAGAATGCTACATGGTAAGCACTTGAGCCTTGGATTTCTTGTCGATACCTAGCTTGTGTTTTAGAGCAAGGACTTGGTTAGTTACTCCAATTGGTGCTATGTGCACATTGCGCTATTCTGCAGGCCCCTAAAATTTTCGTTGACCCGAGGGTTTTTCGAAGACCGTATGAGCACAGTGCGTACTTGGTCGATACGGGCCTGATATGCTTGACCGCAGCTCCAAATGTTTTGATATCCATCCTGTATAGCGTACTTTTGCATCCACAACCGCCCTATCCAAAGGTACACTGTAATTCACGTAAACGCAGAGACAATACAAAAATGTAAAGGTTAGTGCTTGAAAACACGTTGGGTATCCTTGGTTTTAAGGTGACCATTAGTGTTTTATTACACAAATATTATAAACAGCGAACTGTTATCTTTTAAAAAAGAAAGACAAGCAAATTATATGTGTTGAAGTCAACAGTCTACTATTAGAAGATGCTTCGTTATCAGAAACAAATTACTGATTTGATATAAAGCACGGTCTCGGCTAAGTTGCATAACAATAAAATAAGTAACGATCATAATCGTATAATCTTGGCTTATGAATTTAATGGAAGATTAGAGTTCGCAAATGGCAGCGGATAGGATATGTATTGTATAATACACCGATTGAACTCGAGATAACGACGGTGGATAGTGTGGGATCGAGGTTAAGTACTAGCCCAAGTACAAGCCCTTGATGACGAAACCTTAGATTTCGCTATGATATTATGCCAACCACTCCCTTGTGGCTCGGTCGATGCTCAGGCCAGCATCAGTTTAGTCCTCCAGAATGAGTGGAAGCGCGAAAATCCAGAACAAGGAACCTCAAAAACATGAAATCACTTTCGTGTAGCAATAGAAGATCCGTAGGCCTAACGGTTTTCGCGTTGCATGTTCATCAATGTTCTACTACTGCAAGAGTAACATAAACCGTGCGCGAACGACGCTCACTCGATGAGTTTGTGCATGTTGTATCATGTTAATTAGGTAGCATCATTTTGAACTTTTAGGACTGCCTCCATTACCATGATGCTCAAAATTTAAGTTTTTCATCTAGCAGAGTCATACATCAGAATGGAAACAGTACTAGAAAGTCGTTCGGCACTTAAGCAGCAAACGCGTGGACGCCGCGTTGTTTCCCTGTAAATATACATGTAAATGAGGTGCAATGTTAAATTTGGTTTGAATCTTGGCGTTTTGGGAATCTTTGAATCTTCGAAATGAGTATTTTGGAGTCTTTGAATCTTACGCAGTAACAAAAATGGAGAAAAAACGGGGGAAATGTCAGGAAAATAACCGAAAATAACCCCCGACAAGCCAAGGCGATGGCCTCATAGCTCCGAGCCGGTGCACCGAGCTCTTCACTTGGCATGAAGTTGAGTGTGGCTGAAGCTCATAACACAGATTGTTGTTTGGCGAATAGTATATACCATCCACTGCGCTGTCATGTTGTAAATTGTCATTCTGTGGTCATGTTTTCAAGTTTTATTTAAATCTGCAAAAGAATGAAGGGTTGGAAAATTGGGTTTGATCTGCACGGAGAACAAAGTTGACAACCACTCTTTTCCCCTAAATCTCAAGCCTTTTCTCCGACAATTTTCACTTTATATAAACTATGGCATTCTTTTGTCAACACTATGTGTGTAAATTATGTTATCCTATAATTAGCTGATTGTCTAGTACAAAAGGAGTAAAATGAATCTTAAAAATGAATATTTGAATTTGGTCTGGGATTTTTCATTCACTGTACACTGAGGGACATGGGTAGATGTGGAGTGGGCACAAACCTGCAGAGATCAAGAGCTGATCCAGAACCAATTTTCGTGGAGGGAGATTTGGAGCAAGTAAAAACGGGAAATTTCTTTTCGTAACCTATTAGGGCCTCTCTTGGGGATGGACTAAATTGTGGGATTTTTACATGCATTTGAAAGGAATGTGCCAACGTGCTTTTCAACATTTTTCAAAACCTAAAATCTTGGCCCTTTTCATGGGGATTGCTCCCGTTGCCCCCCAATCTGCTCTCGGAAGAGATCTAGCTAAATGGTTGTTTTGTGAGCGAAAACTCACTTTGTCATAACTGCAACTTGACCATTTCGCGGAGGAATTCATTCTCCTATGTATACCATTATCCATATATATTATCACAAGTTTGAAACCACTCGCTTTGGGAAAACTTAATGTATTTTCAAACGAGAGACAACACCACTCGGTTTCATCAGAATGTACCAGCTGGAAAGTGGTCACGTTACTGAAGAGAAGGCCAGTTGGAGACTGCATACTCATCTTTTTGTGGAAACAAGCAAAAACACAGATATTCTATGCCAGATACCAACATTCTTAGGTAATATCTACCTCGTAATAGATGGCTATATACTGGCAGTCCGTACCCACTCTAAATGGGTTCATATCGTGGGTAGCAAAACAAAACAAAAACTAAAACTAGACAGGTATTCGTTGAAAAGATGGTGTAAGCGCTAACTACAGTTGCACAACTTCGTCAAACAAATCCTATAAAGATTGTAATGACGTCATTCTTTATGCAACCATGAATAAGTCTGAGTTTCGAATCTTAAATCTGTCTTGAAAGTGGCTTCATCCGCCTACGGAAAAACATCATAACCGACTGGATTGGTAACATAACGCCATCATGTGGATCATTTTTATTCTTTCATATTTGTCAATTAAATTGTCATAAATATTAACAACCGTGCAGTTAGTATAAGACAATTTACCTTTATAATGATTACTATATCTAATTTGATGCTTGTTTGCAAGAAAGCTTTCATTACACAAGCTAAATGGACAATCATTCTGTAACAGTGTCGTAATACCTTACGTCAAACATTAATCTTTACCAAAGGAACTTTATTTTGAAAATGGTTTGTCTCAGCTCTACATGCAGATTTGTTTATGATAGGGCATAGGCCTACACGTATTTCAAAGGCAAGTCCCCTTCTCATGAAGTGTTCATAATTTAGCAAGCTTTTCGTGTAATTGTCTTTTCTTAAAGCATTCCGATATCCACGATTTCTCTTCAGTTCATCCTCTGGTTCCTTTTTTTTTTTCATTTTATTTTTGACCACTTTACTCCTATCTTTATATATAATTACTCTCATCCTTTCCTTTAAATCGCTAAAGCACACTTTTCCATCACCCATGCGCATGTAGTTACCATAACTTCTGGGCAGCTATGCACAGTAACCATCATCCAACTTCGAAAGGAATAATGAATACCTCTACCGTCGAATGCGATCTCTTAATCACTGAGGAAACGGGGTGGTGCATGAATGCACTGGGCTAACGATCTACTGCGTTTCCAATAGAGGGATCTCAATATGACGCTTTTAGCGTCGATCTGCGCACTTCCGCGTTTGAAAAAGAGGCTGTATGTGTCAGCTTCAATTCTTAATACGATCAGACGCTTGAAAGTAAGGAGTCAGATATGCAGATATGCGCAGACGGCGCTAATGTGAAATCCCAGTATCATACGTTTGCAATTCAACCACCTGACATCCCAGGTATTAGCTTCGTTTACTTGTCCTCTGCAAATTCCTCTAACACCTTTCGCCCGTTCCTATTCCACCAACCGTTTCCTGCTTTGTCACGCATTATTTATTTATATCCACCAAGTCTGGAATCCATGACTACGATCAAGCAAAACTCGCTCTTCCACACCAAATATCAGCGATACACATTCATACGATGCACTACATGACACACCCCACGACACACCCCTCAAACGCGTTAACTTGTCACATCTGAAACCAAAACCAATGATATTCAAAGGTGCTGTCCACTGTCGGTCTACACAAAATCATTCCGAAAGTACAATATCATAGATACTCAGTCTTCATACGATGTACTATATGACACACCCCACGACACACCCCCTCAAACGCGTTACCTTGTCACATCTGAAACCAACACCAATGATATTCAAAGGCGTTGGCCACTGTCGGTCTACACAAACTCATTCCAAAAGTGCAATATCATAGATACTCAGTCTTTAAGTAGCCTTTGTTTTACCTTCATAGTGCAACCTTGTGCCAAAAATGGGATGCATTATCGCAACATTTAAAATTCAACTCGCATCTGCCATTGCTTCACGAAGAACGGTGGCCAATAAGTGCTATAATATTGTGCGCAAAATGTGATAACGTTTGATATCTAAAGCCGTTTTATACTAAAGAAAAAAAACCCTCTCAAGAACTGCCTGAAATCGAAAAATTTAGCTTTTTGGCCAGTCTCGAAAATATTGCAGACCACCTTCGTACATTACCAAGAATTGGTGTCAAAATTGAACTCTTGTCTGCGACCCCAAGGTCAGAAAGTTACACACCAATTTAAACACGCGTTTTAATGTATCAGAGTCTATGCTTGAAAGCAGAAGTGTTCTCCAAAGTGTTAGCTCAGGCTGTGTCCATATTCAAGTAGTGGCTGCGGCCAGCGATATTAAACACACGTCCCAACGGGAAGTGGCTGCAGCCGCTTGCGCAGTGGCCGTCACGAGTGCGAGCATGATTGTCGATGGCAGCCAGAAAGTTTGTGAGCAGCCTAATAAGTAAGTAACTTTTTCAACTGGCTGTGTAAAAGAAGTGTGGATGACTCTGTGACAACATGGAAATTTACCCGATCCGATTGCATGGCTCTGTTAATAAACGAGGGGAAAATGCGAACATTCGAAACGTGGAAGTCGACTATTGTCGTATTATGTGATACGTTTGCCATGCTAATGAGTGAGGCTCAACCACAATAACGTGTAGAAATGAGCCTTGATCCCTTGAAAAATATTTCTAAGGCTACTAATTTGGCCAGGAATCTAGATATCCTTTCAAAAGAATAAACCAGTACCATTCGAAACAAAGGCCTTTTACAATTCATTGCCCATTACTCGACGTAAGCCGGTTCGATATACCTCCTTTGGTTCTAAAAGCCTCGTTTGTCAACAGCATTGGATTATCAGATTGGGTAGAAAAGTTGACCAGTCATGACCTCTCCACAATAATGAAGTCACTACGTTAGTACGCGTACATTAGATATTGTAAGCACTGGGCCTTACTTTCCAGCCAACTTATATGTGCAAGCCATCTTTGTGACTGGGAATCTGGCAAAATCTCAGGGGAATGACACGCTAAAATGTTTACGCACTATTTCATGAATAAATTCTGATCCCGTACAAAAATGTATCTGAGAGGGTATTGTTCAAAAATGACAAAAATACCGAAATTTAACGTTTTGACAGAAATTCATCATGAATATATCACGCAGATCAAACGTCTTCTGCCTGGATGATGCAAAAGACGATTCCAGATTTTTCGACACCGTCTTGATAGTATTGACTAAATATAGTAAACATTAATTCAAACGTAAAAGATTCGAAGCATTTGATGATTCTCCGCTCGCGATTCGAATTTATATCCCCCAAAACTTCAAACTGTTGGTATTTATGGATTTTACAATCTAAATCCTGTCTCTTGTGGTTATTTTATGCATTATTGAAATGAGCGTTGTTTTCACAGTAAAGAAAATTGCAGGCAATGGCGTGAGTAGCCTGAAATTGTCTTACAACTCTGGTACTGATCTGCCACCATAATAATAGTATTAAGTTCGTGGTATTTTGCACTAAAGCAGTTCTTTATTTAAAACATAGGCAATGCTGGATTTTGTTGGTGGTACATTTTATACCCTTATTAAATCTTCGAATCTCAAAAATATAATTTTGCAATCTGCAGTCCACTTGTCAGATTTGTTAGTTGTGGTTTATAATTTGTGACCCAATTACTTAATTTTTCGAAATGTTACATCGCTAACAATGTGTAGCCCACAATCACATGCTTTTCCAGAGGTCAAAGTTGTCCCGTAAGGAGGCAATCCGCCGGAGAAGATCGAATGACGGGCTGATCATGTGGAGCCGTTGGTCGCTGGCCCGTCTCTCGCCGACGTCGCGCTGCTGGTGCATGACGTTGTACGGCTTGAAAGTTGGCAAAGAGTAGAATCGCTTGGACAGGAGCACGCTGAGTGGGGAGCCCCCGCTCCGCCGGCCGTAGCGTGGGGGGTCAGACAGCGGCCTTCTGTCTGCAGAGTACACAGGGAAACAGAGACATGTACATGGTAACTAACAACAGTAGACAGTAGAACTGTATGCAAAAGATTGCCCTTCCTCTTTTGTCAAATCAACAGTGAAATTGTGGATAAAGTCAGTCACACAAAGTTGCAGAAACCTTTGATGGAAGGAGAACGGTTGGAATGGTTAATTATTAATTAAATGATTTTCGTGGACAAAAGCAATTATTAATGGAAGTCATCTATATTCTGCTCAAGAGTATGTATAAACTTTTGGTACAAGGGGACGTAAAATATTCCTGAAATTACTGCGCAAAGTTGTGTTTCTGATCGGCATATTCACATCCCGTTCCCTCACGTTATTGAATGTTCCCTCTTCTGACGTCTTTATGAAATGTATTTCTGTCGTGTTAGAATATTATTTTACCTCCTTTTATAAGATGAAGGGGCAAAATATTTCGACAGAGCAGTAATACAATTTCTTCAGAAACAAAAGTGTGCTTGCTCGTTTATCCATGAACCCATCCAGCCAATGCGTGGTATTATATAGCGCTGTCCTAAAACTACTGAAGAGGAATAATGCTTTAACGATCAGAGATTCTTCGCAAAAACTCGACGACGATTCCACAAATTGGAACAGAGCCCTCTTTCAGTCCATTGCTCCTCAAACGGCATGATGAAATAAAATGGACTTCAAAACGTGTTGTAGGGGCCTAGGTAGTGGCGTAACTGAGGGGGGGGCACGTGCCCTCTGCGGATGCTGGTGCCTCGGGTGTCCCTCCCCCATTTAAAATTTCCCTTAAGTTATTATGCAGCTACAGCTTATTTTCTTGCGGTTCCCCCTTGAAAAAATGTGTGCAACTCGGGTGCCCCCCTGACATTTAGACCTGGTTACGCCACTGGAGATAGGTTGTGCGATTTGTCAGGAATAAAGGGTCTGCATTGCTGTCATCTTGCAGGCCAGTGTTTTCGTTCAAAAAGATATGCGCAAAGGAGGTTCCCTCTGGAACAAAAAAAAACTGCTCTGCAAGATGGCTTCCACCCAAATCCTCTACAGTGGGGTTATAATCGACAGGTTAGACTCACCGGGAGGTGACGCACCGGTACCGGAGTCTGCCATAGCGCTCTGTGCCGTACCCTGGCTGGCCAGCAGCTCGTTACAGGCTTCTTGCAAATACGACGGTAGGACCCTGCTGGGCTGACAGAGTTCGATCCGCGCCACCCCAACAGTCTGTTGCAACGTGCCCGGTGTGGTCATCAAAAAGACGAGAGCCAGGAGCCCGACCCCAGTAGTTCGTTGTAAGCCATTGCAGCCAGACACTGGAGAAAAAAACACCGAAGTCTCCAGCCTCGGCATTCCGGCAAAGGGTTTTCACCAACTACAAGAAACCGACAAACGATTGCTCGCGTGATACGGTTGAGTCTCACGCTGAACTTAAAAGACGCGGTTGCATTTTTTTCAACAATGCAGAATGATAAGATCACTTGTCAAACAAATCTTTCCCAATAAATGTGAATGTGTGTTGAGAATGGACAAGCTAGAGCAAGCATTTAACAAAGGTACTTTTCATGTCCTCACTTTATACCAGTTGGAGCTCACAATTTTCTGTGCTGCTTTGTTCATTTCGCTCACAGATCTGACCAATTGCAGAGGAGAATGCCCACGTATTCTTTCGTGGCGAGAGGAGGTCAGTGTTCTCACAGAGGAATTCCCGACCACCGTTTTCCACCCCCGCCATCCGATACTGTTAGGTGAATCTGGACGTCCAGTGGTAAATGTGGCAACCATTTGGCCGCAGCGTTGCGCACGCAGCAGTATTCAAAATAACCGTCACGTCATAGCAGCAAGACCATGCCCCTCCGGTTCCATTATAGGCCTAAGGCCTATAAGGGCAAAAAAAGTCCCAGGTTGCTGGTCACTGCAGGCGTCGCCGTAGACCTGCGCGTCGGCAAAATTCAGATTTTTTTTATATTTGCAAAAAACGATTTCCAAAAACCGCCAAACTTACTCGTTCGACAGGTATTTTGCTACCGCGTAATTTTAAAATGTTTTGATGGGTGGGATTGAGTAATATGTACGGTATCCCCCGAATCCGTTATGACAACCATACATGTAACAACTCATGCATCGTTGGTCGTCACTTGCCAAGATCAAGGTAGATTAGAGTGAGAGGAGATTTTATTTTCTGAGCTGAATTTTTCCCCATAAGGCCTATGTTAAATGCAGTTTGTTTCTTATAAGCTAAAACAGAAAATAATGTGCACAGTACATCATCTACTTTATTTTCATTTTGACTCTCTGGAGCTGAACTGTTTTCATTTACATTTTTCTTAGGCTATTTGACGTGCAACTTGTTTTCTCTAAGCTAAAGCAGAAAAAAATGTGCAAAGAATGTCATATACTGCTACCTCATGAGAATTTCATTTGAAACCGGAAACCGGAGCTGATTATTATTTTCACATATGATTTTTCCTTGGTTGTGCTATTGTATTTTAATAACCTCAATCTTGCCAATAGAAGCCTCTTTTTTGAGTGAGATGAATAAAACCATTGCCTCTCGTCATATTTTTATGGTCTTTGTGTTAATTCAAAGTTGTTAATTCACACTTCTCGAAGTAGCAAGGCCATGCGCTGTAAAGTATATGTGCATGTACATCAATTCTAAGGAAAAAAATGAGGAGGAAAAAAAAAGAAACCACGTCACCGCACCACTTTTGGACCAAGCCCATGACCAGAAACCGAAGTCTTTTTAGGCCTATTATCGCAGTTTCTTTTGTTAAAGATTGTGATGTTCAAATGGTAACAAAATGCAGAAATGTTGAACTCTAAGAATCAAATACTTATAGTACTCGGACTATAAAAAAAAATTGTACTTCAAAATCCAGCTGATGGTTAGCATTAATGTTTCGGAATACAGTTCTTTCGGTTATTTTTGCCCATAACTCGTACATTCAACACCCAGGTTTGCTTCAGTCAGTTCACGACTAAGAACCGACTTGGGTTGAAATGTCTCTAAATGTTCGCTCGTACCCTGTCCAAGGAAGCCGGTGACCTGCAACCTCTTATTAGAGCTTTCAATTGTTTACCCAAAGACCGGAGTCGCCACTTCCGGAGTAGCACTACACTTGTGAACGAGAACTGCATACATTGATCAAGGCAGTATTTAAACCAATCACCTGTGGCAGCGCCTTTTGTGTGATATTGGCGCACTTGGAGAAGCTGGAGCCATATGCCACCCATACAAATTTAAACTCCCACTTCGGAAAAGCCATAGGATACAAGAGATCATCAAAGTTTAGCCCCGCCCTTCAAAATATCCCCCCGAAAATGTGGCTGCCCTTGCCTGTGCAGGGCGCTGGAAAGGTGCCACTCGCAACGCTGAACAAGGCCTTGAGGCAGAATGTTCCCGTCACAAAATTGTGTGAGAGACATGACCAAACCCCAAACGTCCTGTTTTATTGGGTGCGGCGGCGGGCAAGAGCAAATGTATTCCAGAGAGGCCACGGAACATGCTTTTTGCAAACTCTTCGCAGCAGAATATTTAACATCTCAATTAGTAACTCCCATGAAAGTAAACCTTTTAATAAAACAATTGAGAATTTCTATGTTGTTTTCCTGGTAAAGGGGCGCTGTTGCAGCTGCGTCGTCATAGATGTATACAGAGACAATAGCACTGACTTCAGACTTTGGATCCAAAATAGTTGTTCACTGTGTGTGCAGTAGAACGTGCAGCTATTGTCTGCTCACTGAAAATACTTGTGAAACTTTTGCTGGCTGACCTACTCTTGTGAACTGAAAAGAAAAACCGAATCAACGAAGTAAACACAATTAACGACAACCTAGTATCTAGGTTTGGGCAAAGTTTAATGCTGAAATACTGAGGTGTCGGCCTCGGATGTTATGATACCTTTGCACATAAGTTAGCACGAAAAAGTACCAAAATGCGCTTAAATGGCTAAATAAAATAGAATATGGGACATAAGGAATACACGGTCTGCATTAAAGATGAAATTGTCAAGGACCTTAATGTCATGCGCACTACGGTCACCGAATCCAAACTTTATAGAACACTAGAAAGCCATAGGCAGTGTCTAAACGGGCTTCCAGAGCTACGGCTGTGTCTATTTGTCTCCGTGCATTTCCAATGAAGCTAAGACCTAGACCTAGCTCTAGACAACAGATTCGGATGCAGCCTAAGCATATGCACCTCAAATTCCACGTGATGGCGTAGATTCAAGTCTACAAGCGGAGGCTGTAATGACGAAACCCCCAAACCCACCAGCCCATGAAATTCTACAAGGGATAGGGCAGGTGTGTTTTCAGGCACACATGCATAATGTTACATAATAATGTATGCCTATGTATGCATTTTTATACAATATTTATACGTATATTGGTCTCTACCTTTGTGCTTTCTCTTTTCTTTCATTTTTGTTGAAATTTGTTTTGTTTTGTTTTGTTTGGTACATAAAACCTAGGGTATGACCCTTGTCCCATCTTTCCCCTTTGGTCAGAGTGACAATAATAGCCACACCCCTAGGGATCTAATCCATTTTAAGCACAGCGAGAGGGACAAAGGCACATAAACCGCAATAATAATGTCGTTTCTTCATTAGGAGAGGACGCCCACCAGCAGACGGTCAGCCATGTAAAAAAAATCACATGGATATTTGAGTAATATTGCTCTGAAATTATGCAGGAGTGCTGTTTAGGAGGCTATTCTGAAGTTGATTTATAATTCCATAAAGTCTGATAAGGAGTCTTGCGTCACGTCAAACAAACATCCATGCATTTAAATTCTTCAAACAGAAGTAGGAAGCGAAAACTCAACACAGTAACAAGGGGGAAATCCAACTCCCCCAGTCGCACGATGGTGTGAGATAGAAATGCCTCGCGGTTTGTTGACACCTGTGATTTGTCCCCATGCAGTTTTAGTGTCCAATCGACGGAAAGGAGCCATGTGGTTGGCTCAGCGCGTTAACCGACAAAATGGCACGCTGATGAAATTCAAGAGGCCTGAGAGTGGGGCCAAGCTGTACTGCTTCGGTGTTAACTTTCGAGAAAGTGGTCTCTTATTTCAATATTTTCCCATTGTGGACGGACCATTGCAATTTTAGCTTCTAACCTCTTGTTGGTTTAATGACCTCAACACTCACACACAACGCCACTTCAGTTCCATTATTACTGTCAACCTTGCGTCCAAAATGGAAAAAAAGCGAAACGCAGACATCAATTCTAGACAAAACAGAAGTTCGCAAGGACATAAAAGACGTAGCGCTCGGGTGAATAAGATTATAGAACAGGAGGTCTTTGGGGCGCCCTGCACTGAATAATTTATTTAGTCAACTGACAAGAAAATAGCCATGCATGCTGTCGTATTTGGCTAATTAATAGATAGTCATGGCTAATTATGACTAATTATAATAAGTCGTGAAAAGTGTCTTATTTGACTTATTTCTCAAGGGATTAATAATACATGAAAATTAAGTACCGATGCGTGCAATCCATGAAAATTAATCAATAACGCAGAAAAATTAATTTATCATTCTGACTAATTTAAATTGTCATGTGACTTGATTGGTCACATGACTTGCCACTTTCAAGGTAATCACACTTGAAATAAAGATTGCAGTTGACTTTTTCACTTTAAATCCTAAATCCCGATTCACATAGAACAAACCAAAACTGTTAAATAAAAATAATGAAAGTGTGACCTGTACGGTCTACAGTTCTTCAGAGTATATTAATCATTTTCAAATTTCAAGTAACATTGTTTGATGCTTACCTTTTTGACAATCTTCCGAAGAAACCGAACACCAGTACAGCCATACTGGAATGTTGGCTGAATGCAAAAAAATCTGGTCAATTCACGTCGCGCGCACTTTTTAGCAGGGAGAGGGCAGGAAACCAAGCAACCAAATTCGTCAAGCCCAAAGTAGCCAAATCTTAGGCAAATTTTGTTTGGTAATAGTAATGCTGAAAGATTTGTCAACAAATTTTTCCTGACATGATGATGTCTATTTGTCAAATGACGACATTAAAATTAGTCCTTCACTCATTTTGATCGTCCAGCAACTTTAGGGATTCGTAATAAATCGATTTAATTTGTTAACTCTGCAGAACAAACTCGTCAACTGACTGATTACGTGCATTACTAACCCTTTTTCCTTGTTTCGACGATTTTATCATCCCGATTGAATAAATACAGTTTTCAGTGTGCGACCTGCCATTTTTCGTTTCTTGTGCAGGGACATAAACAAGAAAAGTCTTTATTCTATGTGTTTTTTATCGTTTGAAATCCAGTGCCGGCTCGATTTACGAGGCTACAACACTACTAAACGAGAAATGTCATCGACGTCATCTCAAAGTGTTGGATATTGAAGATAAATATGTTTAAATGTCAGGGGAACATGCCGCTCCGACTAAGTGCTGAAAAATCTGTTTATATGCTTGCAATATTCGTCTGGAAAAACGTGCTCATCCTCAAAATAATTTATTCATGGAATGAGTCATTGAACCTGGTATAATGAGGACATAACCATTGGGTAACCCAGAGAGTCATCCTAAGTTAACTATGTTGGCCGGCCGATTGGTACTGCAAAGTTCTCAGACAGCTGGCTGTAATGGTGCAGCACCGTGTGCATCTCGCAATGTTGGTTGGCCTGTGAAAATTCCATGCTAAAATATCTCTCTTCAACAGGAAACTTGTACAAGAGTTCTTACATGATGTTACAGTAAGCCTACTATATTCCACTCTTTTTCACGCAAAGCTTAAAATCTCATGAAATATGCATGTATAGCGTAATGTTTTCAGACATAAGTAGGCCTATATTGTAAAATTTAAGAATACGTGCACACCCCTTTTTCAAATATTTTTAATTACTCCTCAGTTTCCGGTCATTTTTTAAATCTCCTCAAGTTCCCAATTCGAACTAAGCCAAGAACATGGGTGAGTGCATCTTTAAGTCCCCGAAAAAGCTTGAACCAGATTTTCCCTGGGCAAATACAAACCTACTGGCATGCCATTCAGTTCAGGGTATTTACCTTATGAAATTTGTCATCCTGTCATAGTTTAATTTCAAAATAACTTTTTTCTTTGAAAAATGTTTGTTGTTGTTGGGTAATTCCATCAATATTCTTATACATGTATTGAGACACGTTGATAAAGGATTGTGCTCACTCAACTTGACCCTTACAGCCCAACCCGGTTACTGTTTAAAACAGTACCTCTATGCATGATGCATGGATTTTTGCATAAGATCCAATGGGCACTAGGAAAGATTCATGTACACGTACTAGAAGTCTTTGTCTTTTGGTAGAGTTGATGACCGTTAGTGGTCCTCTTGAAAACAAAGGCGTTTTTCCATATATAGAGTGTGCATCCAAGTCCGTATGCGTAAGGTTCTGATGAGTGTCTGGAATGGACGTGCATATGGAACGGACCGAAAAAGCATATGGAAAGGTGCCGACAGGTGACTGTGGGACATGAACCCCTGCTCCAGAGAAATTTCCAAGAATATGAAACTTCTGTGTGCTTACTGTGCTGAATCAAGGGAGGATCTGGGGGAGTGGCCCCTCCCCCCCCAGCAACCTCCGGATTTTCGTAACTGTCATATTCCTTTTTTGTACCTAGGTTTCTACCTTATAGGTTCACGCGTATACAAAAGAGGGCGCTTGATTGTCTTGAGGGTCAAGTTCGCGTGTAATTATGGTGCAGTTTCTGAGCGAGAATTATTTGATATGAAGGAAACGCAAAATACCTTGGTGGTCGAGGTCACGAGAAGATACTTGCAAACACACTAAATTTCATTGCAAATGATAATAAAACGTTACTTCCTCGCTGTAAAATAGCAAGTTTATTCATTACAGCATGAGTCGCAGAAACATGTAGTGACAGCTTCAGTTTCGTAACAAAAATATCAAGAAGTAACGGCGTTTGCTTAGTAATTCCTTCATTATCAACGACGACACATGAAATGACTCAGGAAGAATCGCACTGCTAGCTGTGCCTGAAAATTTAATTGTGACTCAACCTAAGACTCGCAAGCTGTTACGAAGACCCTTCTTTGAGTCATGAGGTCTTTACAGGAGTCTTAAATTGTAATTGTATTAATTAAGAACTCTCTGCCTTTTTTTAACCATGGAGCGCCCACCTTCATCTGAATGCCGAGACTGAGTGGTTCATCAAAGCAGAGTGCTCAGTTTGGTCTTTCCATATAACAAATTAACCCAAAACGTCCAAAAACGTGCCTTAATACTCTTTTGGAGGGATCTTGGGGGACGTTTCCCTAAAAAGCCGGGAAACGCCCATCAAAGTGTCTTGCACTGTGAATGAATGTAAAATACATGTAGGCCTATTAGAGAAATTCTGGAACGTTGGGCTGATAAATTTCAACCACGAACTTGAAACTTAATATCCACCTGGTGTTATTTGCAACGAACTGCGCCAGAGCGAACATTCAGTAACAGATTTGCATACACTGGGCACTGGACCTTAAGGCTCCTCAACAATAGGTGCTTAAAAGGATGACATATTGTACACATCTACAAGTTACGAACTTTGGCATTGGTTTTGATTTCGAGATAGCTCCCAGGAATAAAGAAAACGCTGGTGCAAAACCACACTTTGTCAATCAGTCTGAGGCCCCTCCTCGGCCTTTATCTGAACCTGTTTGAATCTCATGGCTGAAAATCCAGGTATGGCTCCCCTTCTGAAATCATGATGACTTGCCACCACCGGTGGAGCGTAGCATTGGATGGGGTGCCCTGGAAGGGGGAGACGGTGAGGCAAGACGAGAGAGGGCGCAGTGTGTCGAGAGACGGTCTCGGTCTGGTGCCGGTGGCGAAGAGCCTGAGACTCATTTGCGCCGGCTTGAATCTGGGCTTGGGCATGCGCAAAGGCAAAGCTTCTGAAGAGGGCGAGGTTCCACAGTTGGCTTCCATCCGTCGGATACGAGAAGGCCGAGAGCCCATGTACGAATGCCGGCTGCGTGATAGGACGAACTTCTGGTCTGTAGACGATCCTTTCGCTGAGGGCGGTACTGTTCGACTGCAAGGCAAAATATAAAATGCTGATGTGATGTACTTCGACTGTTAGCTGGGTCAGCGTAATACAATTTAGAGGTATTTAAAGATATGATCACACATTCTCTACACGAAAACTAGATTTTCAGGGGCGCAAATCCAGGGAAAGTGCCTTCCTACCAGCGGAGGACCGAGCACCTGGTTGCCCCACCCCCTTTTAAATGTTGACATTCAGAAAACACAGTTAATTTGCTCTCGGTACCCCCTTGAAATACATGTGACCCATCCCTATGCCATCTCAGAAATTTGACCACATGCAGTATAGTTACCATGTAACTGGTGGTTTACATTGTCATTGCCAAAACCTGTGAAAGATGGGAAGTTATAGATCCGCCTCGGGCAGACGCGTCCCCTCGTTGGTTGAAAGGAGCTATGTTGAGTGCTCATTTTGTTGGTAGCGATGCGACCGTAAGGTATGCATTTCATAGTTGTTTAGTGAACACAGCGAACAAAGTGAACACAGCGAAGTGCAGTTCGTACCTAGTCTGGAAACCAGACCCGATGATTCTGACTACCCAACAAATCAAGGGTCCGGTATCACCCAATGTCATGTGGCCAAGACTGGAGGAATTCCTCCAGTTTTCCGGAAATAGCCGAAATAATCAGAAGTCGTCCCATCTACATTCGGCATGTTCGGATGGTGCCGTTGATGTTCGGTTATTCCCGGTCGGGTAGGTTGGCCAGCTGTTGAACGTTAATTCCCGTATCCTAATGACAGCTGTTGATCCCACAATATTTGACTTTATACACTGAAGTCGAAGGTCGCCTTGACTGAAATGCCAGGCGAAATGCAGAATGAACCTTCTTCGACCAATGCAAGCTTTGTGCCTGAAATATTCTCTCCGTGGGGATAGAATTGCAGTATTGCCCACTGGATATGGGAAAAGCCTCATTGTTTAGATGAAAACTCTCAGACTTTCAACTTCTGAACCTTAACCCTTGCGTCATATCTATTTATATCCGTACGTGATGCCTGACCTAAGATCAAGAGTTGTCTGGGAATCTTTGGGCAGGGATCCAGACTAGTTCAGGAGCCTGCGTCACTAGGAAAATCGCGCCCTCTCCTGGTTCAGCTCGGGGCTAATAATAGGTTCGTCCTTGGTCTACAATTCAATTAAACCGAGTGCTTGGTTTTGCGCGGTTACGTGCCTGGCTTAAGTCTCCCATCGAACTGATCGACGCAACTCCCTTAGCCCCACCCGCAACCTGTTATGATACTACCAGACGGATTTCTCAGTGTTGCCATATCGAGCCGGTATGGATTTTCTTGCGCAGTGCTAAACCGTGATGATGAGTGAGTGGTTTTTGTTATTGACTGAACGCTGTATTGATCAGAAACACAAAAAGAAGATAGTTCCCTGGACCTAATGAAGCATCGGATGGTTGAGCTGCCAGATTATTTACCTACTGTTAAATGCCTAGGTTTGCATGCCAAAGTTTTCTCCAATTGAGCCTAACTTCTCTGTATATTGACCGCTGGCGGGCCAGGGGCAGGATGGCCTTCCACCAATTCCCCATTAATTTTTAATGGTTAAGTAATTGGTTGGCCAGAGAGTGTCAAATTTGGCACAGACTCCAGATGACTACAAGGGGTTGAGCATCGATTAACGGGCCTTAAGCCCTCTCACCACGGCCTGCTTGGGGCTTTCAACTGTGACATAAATCCCCCCTGTTCGATCTACCGCAAGGTCGCGCTGGACTAAAATCCGTACAAATTACACGCTAGGCTTTTTTGTCAAAAACGGCAGGGCCTACTGCCAGGGGCGATGATAACAAAGATTTCCAATAGTAATTATTTAAAGAACGGACTCAAAAGACACGTGAGAAGGCGAGTGTACAAGAAGATTGGCCTGGCAGCGCTATAGACGCAAAAGGCCAATTTGTCAAAATTGACCAGACAAGCCACGGGAAGAGGACTTCCAAATCGATGACTGCAGATAAAAGATGAAGATTAGGAGAAGCTCTTTTTGAGGAATTTTTGATACATGCATGTTGCTGCACCTGAGGGAGGGAGGAAGTAGGGGGCATGGATCCCTTTTACCGCTCTGTCATTCATCTTACCTGCGATGTGTCTTGCCATTTGTCCCCGGGGAGAGAGAAGCTACTTCCTTGATGTTGCTGGTCCGCGCTGACCTGTCTGCTTCTTCGCAGTCTTTTAATTGCTGTAGAAGGAGTATACAAAAAACTCCGATATTTTCTTCCAAAAATCGTATGGAGAACGAACCCCATAAGCTTTTTTTTGCATGTAGACTGTGGAGTTCATCAGCTGCATGAATGTACCATAATTCCTGTGTCTGCTTGATGGAAGAAAAGGAGAAATCTTATAGGAAACCTCAGAGCATCAGCTCCGACGAATTTAAGCATTCACGTTACCTGTGCACCCATTGCGATTCCTAAAAATGTCAGGTCAGCCATAAATGTGAAGAGTTAGAGGGGAATCGTAGGGGGGGTTGAGGGTGGTGTGTAATAGCCCATATAGTGCTTTTTTGTAGTTAACGAATATCGGCAAAACCTAACCCCTTTCAATGTATTAAACTGGCCCACTCTTTGCATTCGATGAAGTCAACGTGCAGCCATCATATAAGCACCTTCCCACGAGCTTAAGAGGTTTCACTGAAAATAAACGGAGGGCCCTATCGCTTTTATGAAATGTTACAATTCTTTCAAGCGTCAATGATCTTTAATGACCCTACCAACAATAATGCTTGCCGGTTGGCGGACGTATTGTGCGAGGGGCCACTCGGCCACAAGTCGATACCACAGGCTGCCCTACTAACCCTGCCCGCCGCGCTCGGCGAGGAAGAAGTCCAAAAGACTGAGACCTGAATATCTACTGACTCTGAAACATTTTGATGCAGAAACATATTGAAAATGTCAAGCCTTGTCACTTTAAAGCTACCACTTGGATACTATATGCCCCAGAGATTTGGTGAAATGTTATCCAATGCATTTCAAATTACTTATCTAAGCTTGAAGCTTTGAACATATTTTCATGCATTTATGTTTTGATGCAGGAACAACCGAAGTGAAATAAAAACGTATTATACAATGCATTTTGAAAAACCTCCGTTTGCTTGGAAGCCTTACACAGTCATGCATTTATTTCACGAATCGGAGAAAAACACATTTTGAAAATGATTGTGGGTGGGACTGTAAGGTGAGCTCAGTGTCTCAAAGCATTTGACGGTGGGATTCGCCGGTAGGGCTTCAATCTTTTCACCAATTCGCTGCGCACGTTATCTTCCACGTCGAGTATGATCTACCCGATGAACCCGCAGCTTAGTGTGAACTGTACATAGCAGATCGCGTTTTGTATCTCCGCGGGATTTCAGCCGGAGCAGGCGAAGCACTTTCATGCCTTGTAATTTGGGTAATCGGCACAATACAATAAACTGCCATTGCACTGAAATGTTCTTCATCAATTTAAAAAGAAAACAAACAAACAAATTTAAACTGTAAATATATATTTAAAAAAGACTTTTGAAAAGCCCGGATGGTTTGACATTTAACAAAGAGAAACTGTCTTAATTAAGTTCACAAGGACTCAAAACGAATCTTAAAAAACTGATGTACTTAGAGTTTAATGTTTCCTTATTTTTATTACTCTTGTTATTATTATTATGCATTACTGTCCTGAAGAATCTTTCACCAGAATGTCATTTTTAGTAATACTTTTAAAATTGCTCTCCTTGTTAGAGTGATACTGAATACACTTTAGTCGTTGGGAAGTCCGAAAAATTCTTCATAACTCGGTTTAATTCTTTGCTCACCATAAAAAAAGTGGAGGGAATTATTCAATAGCCACCCCCCCTCAAAAGTTGGGGGAGCAAGATATATACGCCCATGATTCACATTTTGTACACGGAAACATGTGAAGAAAAGATGTACCTTTGTTTGTCCCCATGACCTGGTATCAACCCTGGGAATGTCATTTTTAGTGACCCTTATCATATATTTACCTTTCATGTTACTCTCAATTTCACTTTCATCTCTTCCAACAGCCGAGCTATTCTCACAGTCACGTGGCCTTTTCTTCCTTGTAGTCCCCAGTATGTCATCCATGGCAAACGACGTGGTGTGCCTTCCCTGGGCTGCGGATGGCCGGCCGTTGTCCTGCACTTCCGTTTTAACTAAAGCCTCCTTCTTGGGGGTGTAGCCGACCTCCCCTGTTACTGATTGGGTGCTGGTCGACTCTGGCTCACTCAATGGGGTTCTGTCGTCAGCAGCATCGCCCTCCCGGCAGCTGCTCCTCAGTATCCTGTTAATGGAGCTCACACTGGGCAGGTTCTCCCCCGTGCAGACCCCATCCGCCAACAGCCTCTCCCGGATCTCCCAGGCGAACATAGAGGAGTTGACCTTCTTGTACCGTGCGATGCTGTTGACCACAGATGGGGTAGAGACCCGGGGCTTGCTGCCTCCGATGGCCCCCGGTAGGATGGACCCCGTCTCTGCGTACCGGCTGAGGATCTTGCTGACGCACCCGTGCGAGACCAACAGTTGCCGTGAGATGTCACAGGGCCGGAGACCGAGATGGGCCAGCTCCAAGATTCGCTTCCTGATGTACATTGGCAGGGGACGCCCATTTGCGAACATGCCCCCAAGCTGGTTGATTCCTCCTTGGCCTTACAATGAAAAAAGGACGAAATTGTTACATTATGAGAGGGTGCTGACGATCGAAACGATGAGCGTGCTGCTTTCAAAACATTCATATCGTTTCAAATAACATGTTGAAAAGTTGATGGAAACATCAAATATGTATGCCCACCAATTTGGAGAGGAGGGTCAACCTCCCCCTTCCCCTGCTTACGACCATTTTCAGTGGCCTGCGTCTCAGGGTTGGAAGGCTCCATAAAAGCATAAACCATGTGTGTGGGGGTAGCTTATTTTTCGTGTACTGTTAAAGACAAAACAACGAGACTAAATGGTTAATTTCAAAACATGGTGAAAAAATACATGTTGTAACCCTGCAGCCCCTTGTACGAACAAAAATCCCCCCGGAAAGTATCATGGATCCACCCCTAGTTTTACCACGGGATAGTCAGGTTGGCGTAGTGGTTCTTTCCCCGCCTTCCACATCTGCGGTCCAGGTTCGAATCCCGGCCTGGCTCACATGTGGATTTGGTTTTCAGTCCCACGTGATTCCGTAGGTTTTACCCAGAATACTCCTATGGGATTTTCCTCACACCACTAAAACTGTAACTGCTTCTCACTGTCTCCTCACAGGTTTCTTCAGGCTTGCGAGCTAGAGTACCTATAGGGCGCTTTTGAGGAATCCTTGGTGTTATTACCAGAAATGAATAAAAATAACATGTCTTGAATAGTGACAGTACAAGTGGGCTACCAGACCTTTATTGGTCTGAGGTGCCATCATCCCAAATTTCCGACGAACAGGCAGCAGTTCAAACATTTTTCACTCTGAGCCTCGCTCTGACTAACCAAACCAAGCATTCGCTCGTCACCCAACGCAGGAGCAGGGCGCTGGGAAGGGTTGACGGGTTTGCACTGTGATTAATCACATCATACATGACCTGTGACCGCGAAATTGTCACTTCCTATTAGCAAAGCGCTAATTAAATATTTTGGTTCATCAATGGCAATGATTTGGCACGTGGACAGCGTCCTCTACGAGACAAAACATGGCCATGGTACAATCACAGTGTGGTAATTTATCTTCTCACTATAAGTATCACTGCTCATGTGTCTATTGGCGATATATTGCAAGTCATTGGTTATCTTGATCAGTTTTGGATGAACAAATAAAGTGTAGTGAGAATATTTTCAACAGTGAAGAAGAAAAAGAAAAAGAAAAAAAAATTACCAAATTGATAACCGCCGCTTGTGTAACGCATTGAGTGGGCTTCCGCGCCTAGCAGAAATATACCCACAATACTCTGTGTGTCGTTAGCTGTGACCCCGTGTGATGTATTTCCTTTACTAAATTAAGGCCATGAGCCCTTCCCAGCGCTCGGCACCTGTTTGGGCGTTGAATAACGAGCGAAAACCAGGCAAAACTAAACCAAACCGATTCAAGACACCTATGAGCCGGCAGCTGGACCAAGAGAGGGAGCAATTTTCTTAGCAATGGAGGCTCCTTTGGTCGGAGCTGAGCTTCGCTGGCTCACGAACGACTAGGAAATGCACGTATTAGGCTCGCATACGCTACCAACAAAATGAACACTTCCGACCAACACGACTCTTTTCAACTGATGAGGGGCGGATAGGCAAGAGACTAAGGATTTAGACTCAATCCGGCACACATGGTGGTTTTCACAAGGTAAGCCTATACCATGATTTTCAAGACGTTTCTATGACCAATTGTGTGTGCGTGTGGGGGGGGGCACAAATCCACCCCTCAAAAAACCAATAAAGAAACCAAGGGCGAAAAATTCTGTATTTGTACAATCTCAATAGAGATGCAACCGATGAGCAAATCCACATGATCAATTCTACATCTGTACTTAGGGAGCTCCAGGTATCTTGATCACGGCCGTTCTACATTTACATATTATTTTAAACTGGGTATTTTATACACAAAACACATGTTACGTATTATTTTTATGCACCTAAAATGTTATACGTGCGCTGGTCGGCCCCTCCGATGTATTTATATTTTTCTTCATTTTGTTGTTTATTTTTGCTGCAGATCTTATCTTTTAAGACAATAATCAACTGAATACGAAACTACATTCAGATTGCCAATCTGGGTTAAAATGCGAAATAAGATCAAACCTTATACTATAAAAACTCTACATCTTGATACCGTAAAGTCAGTAGTCCGTTGTCATCCTGGTTATGCAACGTCACTTCACTATAACTCTCAATTGCAGTAATATTACATATTATTGTACTCTGGAATCCGTGTAAAGTCGATTACTGTCGATGGCTGTTGTTCAGTACAATACTTTAATATTCTACAGTGTATCACTGCGAATCGAAACGTCATTAACTGTAGGCGACCTCATATGAACCTATTCTCAAGATGGAGATTTAAATTGAAGCACTTTTTTATTTTCTTTAGCGATGAACATTTATTTAGAATATGTTTATAGTTCGGTCTCGTTTGTCATCAGTCATTAAGTCCCCCGCGTACAATGGGGACATTTGGACCGTTTTCATTTTCACCAGCTTCAGAATATTTGACTTACTGGCCTTTTGTATGCATTCTCCTAGAAGCCGTTTTTCCCTGTGGGTAACATTTTTAGATAATCTCCCGTCCAGAATGAGAAAAACAACCATTCCTCTGTCGTCTATCAGTAATCCTTTACAATGGATAACACTATGAAATATGTATGGTCAGATGATCCTTCCGGTAAAAATACCCGTGTCGCTCATCGGTGCTTAAAAAAGTTATTCACGTCATACATCATGTCATCATGTCAAGTCAGACTGACGGTCTCACGCAATCAGCTTAGGACTAACTACGGCTATCAGTGGCGTAACTGGGTTTGGGGGGGCACGGGGCACGCCCACGGCCTGTGCCCCCCCCCTTAGAAATTAAAGAAAAAAATCTGCCGACAGTTATTGTTTTAACTGTACCCGAACCAACTGAGTACCCCCCACACACACACACAACCACACCGAAAATGAGCCCCAAATTACCCTCCCTCTTGCAAAATGTACCCCGGTTACGCCACTGCATTGCCAACGGCCTGTTGATGTTTAAGTGCAAGGTTGATCAAGCCTCAGCCTCATTCACAGGGGCAAACACATCTTAATTTCGGTTTAATGTCTCTGTCAGTCGTCGTTACAGACAAACATGCATGATCTGATCAGAGGAAGGACACTTTCCGAAAGCCCATCTTTTTCTCTCTTTTTTTTTTACAAAAGTCTATACCATATCCCAATAACTCCAGCACACCTCTCACACATAGATATGTATCATTCTTGGATGACAAAACCCGACTCGTACCTGTTCTTATTGCATTTTTCACATAATATATACATTTTAAGAGTCCCTGCGAAATCCGTTTTTGAAGACCAAGTGGATGAAAAAATAATTCCAACGGAAAATAAAATACATGTGAGTCAGAACTTGTAACTTTAGACTCAACCGAACACTTTCCACATTATGCAGTCGACGGTGTCACCTTGAAACATATCTTTATTTTGCCTCCCTCCAAAGCTTTGAGAGTTGTGCTGATATTTGCACACTTGCTCGTTATGAGCCCCTTCACTCTTAAACTCTTTAACTCTGCTGAAGATTTTATCAGCAAACTGCATAAACCTTTCCAACCTAGGCCTACGTCATTTATGCGGGTTTAGTGGTGAAGATACAATACAAACGGAGCATGACGGCCCGCTTGAAATTAAGTGTACAAATTAAAATCCGCCGCCTCCTCCTCACCCCCCCCAAAAAAAAACCACAGAAACGTCCTAATTAATGTTTATCTTTCATATTTCGCCTAATTGGGCTATATTGAGATAAAAAAGACGATGATGTCGTTTATGAACCTCTTCTTTAAAACCTAAAGACCCAAACATAATGTACGCCAAATGCAGTCCTATACCCTGACAACGATCTGCAATGTACGTGTTACCTTGGGATACTGACACAACTTTTGCTGAACAGATTTGGGGAGTAACATCAGCGTGTGTTCCTAATACAAGAATAAATAATCGGCACTCACTCATTCTGCAGAAACGCACTATGTTCCCGTACGTACGTGACAGTTTAACGTATACGTATGTATGTTACAACGTACATACGTAAACTTTAATACCTCAAAGATATGTTTATGCGTGTGAGGTTACAATATACGCCATCGGCTAGCAACTGTTTGCAACGGGTTGACCAATCACAGTGCGCGAAATCTGTCGACCCAATGTGCGGTTGGAAAGGGTAGACTGATTTCGTGCTATGTGATTGGTCAACGCCTTGAAAACTCTTGGAGGCGCACTACTGTGAATCGCCTGTGTTGCATGAATTGTCTTCGATGAGAGTTCTGTACATATACATGTACATCAGGACATTCCGAACCAACATACTCGCCACCAAACACAAAACGTCCTTATAGAGCCTGAAAGTTGACCCGTGATTGCGCGCTTCCAGAACCTCTGGATAGGAAAAATAACGTGCAAAGATTTTACAATTTGTAATATTTGTTCGTTCAGTTTCTTCTTTAAAAAAACTTGAAAAAAGGACTTTGAAATATATTTGCTAATATATCAATTTATAGAAACTGAAAAATTACCAGACCTAAAAGAGAAATATTCTGCCAAACACTGACCCATAACTTCCGAAAATCTAAAATACATGAAGAACAGTGCAATGCCGCAGTCTCGTACGCAGATGAACATTTACGATTTGAAATTTAATGGTAGTCTGTCGGTAAAAGCCGAAATAAAAACAGATCAAAATATTTAACACAGTTTTATTTATAAGGTAATGAACATAAAGCAATATTCTACTTTTACGAAAGATTCTAATATTTTTTCTAACCTTTGTTGACAACAACTGCGTGATGTCAACTCAACGGAGTCTGGAACCCATGCATCAACTGCAGGTAGGTCAATCTTTGCAAGGTTGTACAATCTCGTTTTCAAGAAGAAACGGCGAGTGAAAACAAACGTGCACGAACAAGGAGACCTAGGTACGATATCGCCGGACGTGAAAGGTCGTTAATAAAATTCGGTTTTTACCCGTCTCCAGGTGACTTTTCCAAAAAAATTACTTGAGAAAGACAAAGGTAAAATTCCAACATGAGTGTTTCATGGGGTAGTTTCAGTAAGGAAATATTCTTCCAAAAATTATCGAACGTGATAGAACGGTACAATGTAAAATCCCCATAGGCAGACTGCGCAAGGGTTCCGGAAGCTCGCTGCATGATCTTTTACTTTATTCTCAATAAAGGGAAGCCCACTGACCTTTGGTTAACCAAAATTGTCAGAGGATAAAAGTTATTTTATTTATATCGTAGAATGACTTGGTTCTTTGTGTTTCTTAAAGTCGTGGATGGTGGTGGTCAGTTATGGTCAGTCGTAAGAAGTGAATAACCCTTATGAGAGAATCGGAGTGTGAAAGTTCTCTCGCTATTTCTTCATTAAAAAAAAAAAAAATATTCCACATGTGGCCCATGTAGCCGTTTCACTTTTATATCACTGTCATTTTGCAAAGATTCTGAGAAAATAACCAAGATCATTTTTACAACTTGAAAAACAACATCACTTTAAAGTCTGTCCCCACGATAATGAAACGTACTCGCCCCAACCACCGCACCTTTATCCAGATCACAATCGGCAAAGTTTCCGCTGACTGAATTCAGTCATGCTGAACGATTGGGTTTTTGTGGATCCATGTACCATGTGTCACTCTAAGGGACAAACAACAGAAAGCGTGAGGTGATAAACCCATGCGGGTATGTGTTTGCACAAAGATGCTTTATAACGGAAACCTGGATACTTGATATCTACTGGCAGTTACGATTCAGCCAGCTTAAAAAGACCGCTGTCATGATGTGTAACATAAAGTATGGTAAAACACTTGGCGAAGAAGGATCAATACTAGTACTTTACCTTTCTTCTCCATTGTCTATCAGTTCGAAGCCAGTCAACAAGATTCGCTGTGCAGTGAAATAAGTCGATGTTGCCACAGTGCGATAATATGACGGTTTCTACCGAAGTTCAGGCAATGAACTTGCTCCTTTCCTTCTGTGCAGTTGTAGCCTCAAAGCGATTGTTCGATATTGTGAATAACGAAATTGCAGCCGTCTGGTTTTTCACGCTTGGCTTGTCCAAGTGTCAGGCGAGAACTTGTCCCAGACAGCCTCCCACTGATTCCGGTGCCGTTATAGAGGAGGCTTGGTGGCTGCAAAATAATACGCCAGATATTTCCTTGTTGTGGTGTGACGCTTCGGTGGGCGCTCACAACCTTCCCGTAAGCACCGCCTCCGTCAGGCAGGTTGTAGAGCCGAGCCCCCTTGATCAGTCAAGCAGAAAATGCCATGCGAGTATTCTATGGCAATCAGCTTTCACGACCCGGCCTAATCAACCGTATCTAAATCCGTCTTGAAAAGGGATCAGCCCATTTAGTGATTGGTTGATCCTGGTAACTCAAGCGTTCGCCATTGGACGAAGCTTCCCAAAGAGTGTAAACTTGTATTCACCATGCACATTAAACGTGTGTTTCTAGTATCTAAACATTATGGGAATGAACACATGTCGTGGGTCTGTCACAGACCCCATCAGATCAATACTGAGGCAAGAACTGGGAGACCCTTCGCGAATTAACCGACATATTCAACAATCGATCCATTTGCGGGCTTTACACCCTCACTGTCTCCTAGGCAGAAAGAAAATAAACCTTTTCGACTGGATAACGAAAAAGACCATGCATTTCACACAGGAATCTGTGGGGAAGCAAAACATTTAAACATCAATTGTTCATCTTTCGAGTTCTTGCTAATTGCTAATATTGTTTTTCGTCAGCTTTAAGTTTCAGATGGATGCACAGCATACAAGAGAATTTCTCATAAAATGAGAAAACCATTTTGAAAAAGCTGTATATGAAGACAAAATCGCTCTCAAGTCATCTTGTTTTTTCACAGACAACGATCACTATAGGCTGAAATAATATTACCGTGATTGAGCGATTCACGATCAAGAGCAGGTTCACACCATGCACTCTCCTTTACGGACTTATACGTCGCCTCACCCCTTGTCAGTTTAACCCCAGCTGTGTAATTTTCTGATAGGTAAATTGCAGGTTTCCCTGATATATTTGTGTTTGATATGATTTTTTTTAATTTGGGTCAAGTATGAGCAGTTCCTTTGGATTCTTCAAAACATCCGATGATACAAAGGCATTCAGAAGTTAAGGCAGAGTTCTTGCAAGGTATGAAAAGGTTAGTTGTTTCCTTATAACACACACTTCTGAAACGGGTTTAACATATTGATTTCTAATGTGCTTTTTTCAAATTCAAATACTCTGAAAAGCTATCAAATTTGCCGGTTCATCACTCTTTAAGAGCATTAAACATTACCATGCCTTGATTTTCTTGTATACAGAAATGTTTCACTTTATTATGAACGGATGAAAATCAGGTGTGAGCGTGGAACGTTGGCATTAACGGTGGGCCACCTATCATCCAAACTTGGTTGGTTTGTTCAACATGCACTCACTAAATTTACAGAAGGGCATAAACGTGAAAAGCAGCTGAACGGCTCCATTACGACATTTTGCAACTTGCACAAGTGGGGGCGCTTGCCCCTTGGAGGAAATTGAAAGGGGGAATATTAAAAAGAAATGAAAATCATAAATTAACGGCAACATGCGTCAGAACTGACCCCGTCCACTGTCGGTGCCTTGCCTTCCTAAAACTACAATCCGACTGACGCATACAACTTGCTCTGTGGTAGAATGGAATACAATTGAACTAGTAATTGTGATTTAGACCCGACACTGCAAACAAAATGGAACGCTTAAAGTGGTGCAAAATGCTAAAATGAGTTCCACTTCCAAGCCAAACAAATGTGTGAGACGAGATTGGGTATCTTTTCATCCAATCCATAAAAACCGACGAGAAAAAAATCCTAACTGAAAGTGGAACTCAGTGTTAACTTAACACAAAACCAAAAAGCAAATAATATACGATAATGCCTCATGGTCAAAGAAACAATAAAACCCTTTGGACAAGACGGTGGTTTTCCTTTGACCTCCCGAAAGACGTTCGTAATGAGACTCTTGCCTACTAATTATGTATTAATAATTCAGAGAAAAACCTGACTCCACAGGAATAGATTTCGATGGGAACAGAATCAATGCTCACAACAGGACTGGCCAGAAAGGCTTCCAGTTGACTTTCGAGTGCCTATTCAGCCACCTATTAAGATTAATGACGGATCGATTGATAAATGACTCTCGATAAAGTGGGAGCTGTGAATCACCTTGCAAGCAAGTAAATTAAACTTGGTAAATTTGGCTGTTTCTCAAGTTAACCGAAGTTCTTTCCTCTTTATAAGACTACAAGTTAAACAAACAAATTTGCTGGAAGTCTGTTGCAACTTTATCCAGTTCGTAAGTGTGACGGCACTTCATCTTAAACCACGCCCACTGCACATGCACTGCACGTAAAGTTACATGCATTGATCACCGTTTACATGGAACCATGGAACCGAAAGTTAACAAACTAATTCAGCGATTGTCCAATGAGAACCTGCAAATCGAGGCGTGCCCGCCTTTAAGCTTTGTAACGAAGTCACTTACGAACCGGATCAGCCACGCCATTGTTTTGAAAAAATGGCCGATTTTATTACATTTCCAGTACTTGATTGGCATCCGTCACATGTTTCCTCGTCTGTCTGTCTGTCTGTCTGTCTGTCTGTCTGTCTGTCTGTCTGTCTGTCTGTCTGTCTGTCTGTCTGTCTGTCTGTCTGTCTGTCTGTCTGTCTGTCTGTCTGTCTGTCTGTCTGTCTGTCTGTCTGTCTGTCTGTCTG